TGAGTTTGATGCATATTATCGTATTTTTGTTTTATGCGATTTTCATTATTATGTCTCATGTAGGGAAATCCTCATGCGCGAATAATTTGTGAAGTAGCTGTTGGTAAAAGTATAGGTTATTTGAAAGAGAAGTGCTTGACTTGGATGCAAGAACAATATGTCCGTGCTGTCATCGGTATCAAGATTTTAGATCCTAGACAAAATATTCAAGAACCTGGAACTGGATATTCCTATAGAACAATGACGGTATATCTTATTTATAATTCAATGATACCAAGTTAACTGATTGATCTGTTTTTTAGGCTAAACTTTACCGTCAAGGAATGGCAGTACAACAGTGGGACTTTGGGAATATTAAAAAGCATTCAAGGGATCCTGTCAACGATCCTGCTGGTTGCAACGCGCCGAACTTGCCAGCCTTTCAGATCACAATTCCCATAAGCGAAGTATTTTGGGATCCGCCGTTTCCTATCCCGCCTGCGTATGTTCCAATAATCCCGGCAAACGTAATTGGTACAAATTTTATTATTGACTTGTACCGAATCCAGCAGATGGCTTTAAAAGCTGGAGTCAAACAGCAGTGATCACGTGAGACACTGAAATTCGACTTTGCATGACCTATGTTTACTCTCTATTAATAAATAAATAAAGCTTATTGTTGCATTGCTAAAGTAAAAGCGAAGTAGTGCTGCCTGCTTCTTTCCAATATTATTAAAATTTTTGTTGTGCTTATAACGGTATTATTAAGCATATGTAGTAGATAAATTTTATTGGTCTATTTATATAGTAATAACAAGAAAATAAATATAGATCATAAAAAAAAAAAAATCGGGAACCTCAACTTCTCATATAGATTCTCTATAATTTTATTGAAGAATGATTCTTGTTCGTTAATTAGATTACATTCTAAAATATTTAATCTTTGAAAAAATAAGACATTCGGAGAAAAAAACTATAGGTTTTTCTATATAATCAACAAAAAAATAGTGACATGTGTACAGTAAGTATAGGAAGGTACAGTCGACACCAAAAGTAACGCCCGATTTGGTAATAAAATCACATGGGCGAATAAAGTGTGATGTTTGCCCTATTTTGATATTTTTGGAGTCTCACTTTTTTTTATTTACTCTTTCGACTGTCAACTAAATACGACAAAAAAAAAAAGAATAGCTCAATATGACACGTCCCCGCACTCAGCTAACCAACGTGGAGAAAGGAAAAATACTTGCCTATGTTGAAGAAATGAGTCCCCAGAAAGTTGCGCAAAAAATGGGACGTGACCCTACAACAATAAGACGGTTTCTTGCCAAGTACAAGAAGACCAGAAAAATTGAAAATCTTTCACGTTCTGGAAGATGGCAAGCTCTCACTCAACATGAAAAAAAAGCACTTTGTCACAAAGCAACAAAAAAACGATGCATGCCATTATGGGATATAATCAATAGTTTAAACCTTAATTGCAGCTTAACAACTGCTGCCCGAGTGCTACATAATGCAGGGATTTATTCCTGTGTAGCAGCAAAAAAACCTTTTATATCAAAAGCCAATACAATCGCACGAATGAATTGGTGTGAAAAAAATAAAAACAAAAATGTATATGATTGGTGGCACATCATTTTTTCAGATGAAACTAGCATGGAGATAGGAAAACAATCATGTCAGATAAGGGTGTGGTGTCACACTGGTGAAAGATATAATGCAGAATGTTTATTACCAAGTTTTAAAAGTGATAGATGTTCATTAATGGTCTGGGGATGTTTTGTGGGGGAAATAAAGGATCCGTTGGTATTTTATAATGAATATAAAAAAAAAAAAGAAAAAATTAAAGCAGAAATTTATCTAAAAATTCTTCAAGACCAATTTACACCATTTTATAATGCAGCACATCTATTATTAGATCCTTTCATGATATTTCAACATGACAATGCTTTGATCCACACTGCCAAAAGTGTTATAAAGTGGTTCACAGAAAGAAAAACTAATGTCATGGGTTGGCCAGCTTGCACCCTTGACCTTAATCCTATTGAGAACATATGGAAGCTATTGAAAGATAACATCTAGAAGCATGATAATTTTCCGTGCACTATCGATGATCTAAAAATAGCTTTAAAGGAGAAGTGGTCAAATTTTGATATCAAAATTTGAGAGGAGTTGTGGACTCAATACCGCAAAGAATTGTGGCAGTATTGAATGCAGAGGGAGGGCCTACAAAATATTAATAGATAGTAAGAAAAAAATTTTTTTTATGTATAAAAAAAAATTGTATACAAACTCAAATTTTTGTTTAATAAAAAATTAGGCATTATTTTTGATGTCGACTGTACATATTTTATGGTTACAATATTTTGAATACATGCCAAAATAGTCAACTTTTAATTGGTGAACAAGAAATTTTAATCTTATGTAATTGCACATAAGGTATTGATTTTACTATTATAATTATTGAATAAGGTATTAATAAAGATTAATCAACTTGAGAAAGATTTTATGCTATAATTTTAAGTAATTTGTAAATTTTTATTCTAAATAAAATTATTGTTTATTATTGATAATCAAGTAAAAAACTAATTATACAACTAAAAACAATATATAAGAATGGTCATTTTACTCTTTTGAAGGATAATACACTTATAGATTTCTTACAATTATAATTATTACATTATTTGATCTTTATTCTCTTTCTAATTTTTTAATAAACTTTGGGTACTTTAAAAATTATAAATTAATTTTTATTCATAAAAAATAATTAATAAAAATTAAATAATTTCAACTAGTAAAAAATTTATTTTAAATTTGTATAATTGTATAAATGCAAACTTTTATATTTATATTATAATTTAATTTAATAAAGTTTTTTACAATAAAACAAAAAATGATAAAAAACTTTGAAGATAATTATTAAATAGTAAAATTTATTATTTTTTTAAAGAGGGTTTTTCCAGTAGGTAAACATTATTTTTTTATTTGATTTGTATATATCAAAGTATATATCACAAAAGAAACAACATCTCTTACTTACAAAATATAAAAAGTTAAATGCTAGCTTATCTATTTTATAATATTTAACTAATATAGAAAAAAATTTCAAAAGTAATATTAAAGTATTAGATAAAAGAATAGTGGCTATGCCTACCTACTTGACAAATTTTGTAAAATCTTTTGAGTTTTGAAAATAAAATATAATTAAGAAAATAATAAATAAAAATTTGTATAATAATAAATCAAGTAAACAATAAAATTTTTAATGGTAAAGGTTATGTTTTCAAAATGATTCCAAGTTTATAAGTTCTCCAATTGTTGGTATGTGCTTTGGTAACAAAGAAATTATAGTATAGTTAACATTGTTTGAAGTTATTATTGTGTAACAAATCTATAGACGCCCGGCTAAAATTCCGATTTTCTTCAAAAAGTCAGATGACAATCTCTCAAACGATCTTAAGAGACTATGGGTATTTTGATGAGA